TGGAGCAAAGTAGGGTTGGGACAAGAGATTACAGCACCTGAGAGGGGGACAGGAAGAGGCCAAGGACCCCAGCCCACATCCCACACTATTCTCAGGCAGCTGGAAAAGGCAGCCGACAGACGGGCCTGCTGGGCGGGTTTCCTCTCTGGCAGGCAGAGGGTAAGGGCTGCAGACGAGTCCCTGGATCCTCCCAGAAGCCTGAGGCAGACATGTTGATGCTTCTGGGGGATGTGGGAGCTTAGGGGGCATAAGGTTGCTTAGGGGGCAACCTTAGGGTTGGCAAGGGCATGGTGCCTTTGTGCTGAGGAGCAAGGTGCGAGATGCAGCATGAGAGTCTCAGGGAACCAGCAAGAACAGGTAAGATAGAACAGAAAAAGCAAATGCCCTTTGCCAAATCTGAACTCCTCCTGTTAGCCCAGAGATCGGCATGACCCATCTGGGGAAGGGAGAACAGAAGGCAAGAGGGAAAAATGATTGCTCAGGAGACCTTCTGTGGTCCTGCCTCTCTGCTCCAGATTCAAGGCCCTGTGGCTCAAAGGGTCAAGTCCAACTTCTCAGTCACTATTCACAATCCCTGAACACCCTCAAGTGTCATCACTGCCCCCATCACACAATCCTGGTGGCCTGATGGACTCACCAACCCTCAGTGTTCATACTTTACCCTGGAACCTTAGCCACATGGTCATCCCTCTCTCCAGAATGTTCTCCCTCCCTCCAGAATGTACCACCTGGTGAAGTTCTCTCATGGCTGACTAACACATAGCCTTTGGACCAGCTACTTGATTACTGAGCCTCAGTTTTCCTCATCTGCAAATGGGGTATGCCTGTAGTTCACACCAGTCACTGCCTACGCTGTCTCATTCTTTACAGTCCTGGGTGTTACTTGCCTTACTTTTTTTTTTTCTTTTGTTATTCATATGTGCATACAAGGCTTGGTTCATTTCTCCCCCCTGCCCCCAATCTAAGGACAGAACTAGTCTGGCCATTATACCAGAATTGCTGTCCTATGTCTTCTCTCCTCCATGTTGTCCGAAAAGTTCCTAGAGAGCTTTGTCTGAGGATCCACAGGTTGGGTTCTGTGTAGACTCTGAGTGGCCTGGCACAACCTCAGAGGAGTCACCTACCAGGGTCTTACTTCCCAACCCTTGAGCATCTGGGAGCAGAGCCCTGGCTTCTACATCCCTGCCTCCCAGCAGCTCCTGGCCTGGCTCTGAGTAGCTTATGGGTGTGCCAGAGGCCCTGGTGGATGCCCAACAGTCTGTCTGGCACCTTCCCAGAGGAATTGTTCAGATCAGAACAAGGAAGAAGTGACAGGGTTGAGTGGGGCTCCCTGGGTGGAGGAGCAGCTGGGATTGTCAGGATGCAGCTCTGCAGGCCATGTCCTCGCCACATCTCCCTCCCTGTCAACTGTGGAGAAAGAGGCCTCTTGGAGACCGAATCAGCAGGTTACACAGTGCTGCTTGAGCAGGAAGCTGGGGAAAGACAGACAAGGGCTGGAGAAGATCAGAAGGCCTGTGGTCAGGGGTGAGTGTTACGTAGCTGGATCTGAAGCCTCAGAACAAAGACCACCCTATCACAGTGGTTAAGATGTGCCAGGGGATGGCCAAGATGGCCCTGGCAGCTCCTAGACAGGACCATCACTCTGGGGACTGAATTCATGAATTACCAATGAGCAAACCCCTGTAAGACATGGCGGGTACAGTCGTGTGTGCTCTGGCACTCTCTTGTGGACTTACTTAGTAAGTGCACACAGGCCTGCAATGGGCTCTACTCACCTCTACACCTTTGTTTCTTTTCTTCTCCCCACACCTCCTTCCCTGGGAAATGAAACCTTGAGAACTTCAGCACACTGGAGCAGTACCATGATAACCATCCCTCTCCCTCAAACACCATGAAGTAAAGACTTATGACCCACAATTAGTATACTGAGTAAATGTCAGTACTTACTCATTGAAATTTGACTTATTCACACGAAGAAAAAAAGCTCCCCAAGTTCTCTGTATATCTGACTTTTGTTATTACTTGCTGAGGTAATAACTCTGGGGTCCTCAGAGTTTCTAATTCACCCACTAATCAAATGTCATAAACTGTAGTGTGCCTGGGAGTCATTCCTTCCCTCCCTTGTTCAGTAAGGATCTACTGAGCCAGGTGCCAAGGATGCTGGAGGAGGCTAGGCATTATGCTAAGAGCACAGCTGTGACATCATGCAGACACCAGGCCTGACAGCTGGGCATCATGGTTCGCATCTGTCATCATAGGTAAGAGGATTGAGAGCCAAGGCCAGCCCAGGGCAACAATGTGACACCCTACCTGAAAAACAACTAAAGCAAAAAGGGCTGTATGTATGGCCCAAGTGGTAGAGAGCCTGCTTAGCAAGTATGAGGTCCTGAGTTCAAACCCCAGTACTTCCAAATAAAGAAGAGAAAAGAAATGGCTACTGTCATTTCATTACAATACACAATAAAAAACAATTATTATCTGTTGTCAGACTTTCTAGCCACCCTGTGTCACCCGAAACTAATGACTCTCAAGAGTTCAGTCCTCCATCCCTCCATCACTTGGAAGTAGGTGATGTTGGCAAGAAACATGAAGTCTAGTCGCCCTGAAGGCCCAGCAGTCTGTTCCTGTAAACCCTCTATGCTCAGGTTAGAGAGTTACTGACACGTGTACCAACCAACAACTACACACAAGCGGCATCCTTGAAGGAGGGACACCACAAACAGGGTCTCGAAGGAAGAGCAGTGCTCGCCGGGGGACACAGTCCACACTGGTGGAGCACCTGTGGGAGCTTGGACATGCGGGAGGCATGTGGCTTGGTGTGGCTAGAGGAGAGGGCAAAGAAGCAATGGGGAGCATGGGAAGTACGCTGGGAGGAAGGGAAGGAGCCAGGCTATTGCAGCCCTTCAAGCACCTGGAGGAGGAATTTGGATTTTACCCTGTGCATGATGGGAAATATGGAAGGGTTTTAATGGAAAATGAGACCAACAACATTTCATTCTAAAAAAAAAAGCCCTCTTGCAGTGTGGTGGCCCAGAGGCAGGAAGATAAATGGGAAGAATGGTGCAAGTGAGCATCCCCACGGGCAGGGACTCAGGCATTGAGAAGTGGGTGAACTGAGAGCTATGTAGCCAGAGAGTGTGACCCTGGATAGGTGAGAGAGAGAAAGGTGAGGACCTCTGAGGGGTCTGCTGTGGGGGCGCCTTGGACAGAGGGGGAGCGGGTGCAGAGGTGAAGAGTTCACCTTTGTACACACTGAATGGGGTGGAGGCTCATGAAAATGCTTAGGACTGGGAGCTGAAGCAGAGATTAGCTATGCTTCTGTGGTTTCTATCCCAGTGGTATTCGTTCATTCATTCAATCATTCATTTCAGCAAACACTGGGTTCCTACCATGTACCAGAAGAAGTTCTAGGACAGTGGAAACAAAGCCAGAATCTTCTCTCAAGGATTAGACAGCAGTCGAGGAACAATGGCAAGAAATGAATAAACATATGGTTTAATGTTTCAGGTAGTGGCCAGTATGGTGAACTCCCCCCTCAAAAAAAAAAAACCAAACAAATAAGCAAGAGTGACCAAGGAGAGGTAGGGATATTCAGATGGAGGATCAGGAAAGGCCTCCCTGACAAGAGGACACTGGAGCCATCTGACAAGGAGGACCAGATGTGAGGAAACAGGAGGAAGTAACCACAGAGAGAAGGAACCGCATGTGCAGAGGTCCTTAGGTAGGAATGGGTTTGACATGATGGCAGGAAGGAAAGAAAAAAAGTCAGCATAGCTGGTCAGTTGTGGGAGAGGAGGTCACGGAGGTGTGCAGAACCAGGCCATCTCTGGTAAGTTTTTAAGGATGGGTAAGAGAAAGCAACACTGTGAAAGTGCTTAGTGACCAATGTCAAGAACCAAATGTACCTCTAGGATATTAAGGTGATGCCTATAAGAATGAGCAAAGAAGAACCAGTTCTTCATTGAAGTAGGAAGGAGTTGGGCTCAATTTTAGGGAAGGCTCAGGTTGTAGGAGCCACGTGACAGCAAAACAATGGCCCAAACAGATCCTTGTAAAAAGGTTTTCATTTGTGCCTTAAGAATAGCCAAACTGATGTGTGCCCGTTGGTACCTCGCCTGGTACTAAGGAGTGAAGATGAAGAAGAGAGGCATGAGACAAGCGTCCTGCCTCCCTGGGAAGCTGAAGTTCCTTATGGCAGTGCCAGTGCCCCAGCCACTGGGCAGCAGTGCTCTGCCACTCCTGCAGAATCAGGAGCCAGACCAGGCAGGGAACCCACAGGCCTGGGCATGTCAAGCCTCACCCCTGGGAAGGAAGCCAGGACCCAACCTGGCAGGGAGGTAGAGAGAGGCCAGGCAGAGGGAAATGAGTCCAGTGGGTGGCTATGGACCCTGCCCCCAGCCCAAAGGGCTGTGTCCTGTGTCCCTGATCCCATTAAGAGTGACTTCTCAAGGCACACCTTCAATAGCAAAGAGTCAGGACTCACAGGCTCATAGAGGGGCCTGAGTGACCCCTTAGAGGGAAACAAGCACCCCTCCCAACACACATCTCCAACCCCAGAATCTCAGGTGTCTCCATCTGGAAGAGGAAGAGTGGTCAGACCTGGCTTTGCCACTGCCAGCCTCTTTCCTCCCATGAACACCCACGCCTGCCCTGCCCACAGCTCCACACCCCACCCGTCACACCCCGCCACTCCAGTTCCTTCTTCTCAACCCTTGCTCAGTATGTCTACAGCAATCTCTCCTCCACCCCAGCCAAGCGCTCCATCGCCCAACCCACCTCACCCCAGAATGCTTTCTGAGATTGACACCAGCCACCACCCAGGCCAGACTCACACCCTCCCTTCCGTCTCTATCTACAGCACTCCCAAGCCTCGGCGCCTCTAGGCCAATGATGATGCGTTTGGTGACAAACGAGACCCTTTAACCATCAGGAACAAGGATGAAAGCAGGACCAACAGCAAGATCAGAAAGGAGGCCATCTTACTCACTTAATGAAGAACACAGCTCCTTCCTGGGTAGAATCCATTTCCCAGCCCTTGGGCAAACCTGCAAAATCACAAGAAGACCGAGAATGGACTTCTATTCTGGCTCAACCGCACACTCCCGACCCGCACTCAGAAGGGATGGGGGCCCAGAGGCAGGAAAACGCATCAATAAGCCACAGTGTGTGAATCCTTTTTTAAAACCAGTTATTTCTAGCACCTAAGTATTCAGAAAATAATGCAAGAGATGGTATTGAATGGGATGTCCTCTGATAATGAGCAAAGTGACGAAATGAACCATTGCCTGATGGGATTCCTCATTCATTCAACAAACCGTTCCTGAGCATTTGTGTTAGACCAAGCCTGAGACACAGAGATGGTTGTCCAGAAGGATCCTCAGGATCAACCGGTCAGCCTCTTCCTGTCACAGAAATGGAGGCTAGAGCCACAAGCAGGTCACTCACTGGGGACTCAGACTGTTAGCACCAAAGGAAGTCTCTGAATTCCAGGCTGGTGTTTTGACCTCTGCTGCTTCTGGACAAGACACAGAGGACCTGGGAGATTGGTCCCAGAAAACAGAGAGACTTGTTTTTTGTTTTTCAATAGAATCTCTGTAAAAAGTTCTCCACAGAAATGCTCAGACAGGAGAAAAACAAAGCGGACAGGGGCTGACACAAAGGAAGTTGACCTTGGCCATGAGGTGCTGTGGGTGTAGCACCTCCAAGTCCAGAGAGCCCCCTGTTAGGAGTTAGCACTCATCTTGCCTTGTCTCTCAAAATGGTCACCCTGGCCTCATCCCAGCCTCCCTGAACATTGGGTTCCTCCATCTCATGGTGAAGAGGAGGCTTTTTTCTTTTTTCTGTCTTTTCTTTTTTGGTGCTGGGATTGAACCCAGGGCCTCATGCATGCTAAGCAAGCACTGTACCACCAAGCTACATCCCAGCCCAGGAGGAGGCTTTTGAGGGCCCGGAAAGGACTCATTGTCAGAGGTGGGGATGGCCAGGGTGAGATCATTCTTTCTGGGGGTGCGAGAGCCCCCTGGATGACATATGGGACAGCAGGTGAAGATTCTCTTGACTACCACTGCTGTAGGCAGGAGGTTTTATAAGTCATAGCTGTCCTTTGTTGGTCTGTACATCTTCCAAAATCTCACTGACCACCATCTTGCACTCTCAGCAGAGAGCAGAGACTGGGTTTTCTCGTGGCTGGCCCAGGTTTCATTCATCCCTTTTATTCACTTATATTCATCAAGAGTCATATTTCGTGGTTGCTGCTGATGGCACTGCTCCTGCTACTTCAGCAAAGCAGGGCAGCTCATGAGCCCAGCTCCTGCCCAGGTCTTAGTCCAGAGAAATGCAAACATCAGCTACCATCCTATGAAGTGCTCCCTTCCTCAAAGACATGCATGTTCCCTCTGCTGGCACATCTGATATTGTACAATGGGTAGCAGCCCAAACATGTTTACAGACAAGGAAACTGAGGCTCAGGCAGGTTCACCAACTTGCTTAAGGTCACACAGGAAATGTCTGGGCCAGGGTGTGAATGCTGGTTTGCTGCTTCCACAGCCCACACTCTCTCCTCTGTGTGGCTCCATAAATGCTACTTGTTCCCCTCTGTCCCATTCAGAGGGGTGTGGGTTGGCAGCCTCCCCAAGTAGAGGGATCCCCACTGGGTCAGAATCATAAATAATTCTGCCACTGTGATGCTCCTGGGAGAGAGGCCAGCGTGGATTATGTCCCCTGCCTTTTTCTAGCAACTTCCCTCCACACTGCCCTCTCTGCCTGGGCAACACCAAGAGCGCTTATATTCCTGTCCAGGCGGAGTGCCCGGTGAGGCAGCTGCCCTCTCAACGGGCTTCAGGGGTATCTTAACCCCTTCCCAGCTTAGACAACCATTTGGCCACAGCCAAAAAGGAAAGAATTGGCTCCCAGACTCCTACGCATCTTCCAAGCCCTACCCGGAGAAATGATGAAGGTAGACTTGGCTGTAGACAGCTGGGACCCTGGAGACATCAACAGCACCAGTCACCAGGAGAAAACTGCCATGTCCTTAAAAGCAGGAGGCCTCGCCTCCAGTTGGAACTGCAGTAACAGTGTTAGTGCAGTCTCTCTTGTGTGATCCTTGCTGCCACAATGTGAGGTTTTACAGCCCTCTCCCATTATGCAGTTGTAGAAGCTAAGTGCTGGAAGAGTCAAACTCCTACCCAAGAGGACACTGATGGCAAGGACTGCCATGACTGGAGCTGGGTCTCTGTGCCTCCAGAATTTGTGTATTCAAAAATTTGTATTCAGAATTTGCTTGTTACCCAAGTGGCCTTGGGCCAGGTACTTTCAGCTCTTCAGTTTTCCTTCCTTAAAATGGAGGTGTTGGACTCCATGGTCCATGAAGTCTCTTCCAGCTTCTAGAAGTCAATTCCAGCTTCTAGAAGTCAATTCCAGCCCAGAATCTAAAAGAAATAGGCTGTGAGCAAGTCAAGTGACCATGGCTGCTGGGACCAGATGCCTGGTGTCTAGTCAGGTAAAGGTTTCTGGGGCAGGAGATTTTCCCATCATGCCGTTCATATCCTTTATCCTATTGGCCACCAGTGGCATCAAAAGGGGACCAGCCTTTTGTTCACTTGCAGTACCCCAGGTCTTCTGATTCCAGGTGTCTTCACCCCGGCAATTCAGACAGAAAACATTTCTCTGGCTGTTTCTTGGGTTTGTTGGTCTGTCCATGTCCAACCTTTCTGACTAGCCTGGGAGGTCCCCTGAGCAATCTATGTTAGCTTTAGCCTCGTTTTTCCCTTTTTCTCCCCAGCTAAAGGAGTTTCAACCAGCCATCAGAGCTATTTGCATTTAAAACGACTAAAACTAAAATTTCAGTGCTCGGTAGGTGCTAACATTCTCATTGCTCTGGAGTGGCTAAGGCAGCTGTACTTGGTATCACGTGCAACCTGGCACACGCACTGAAGGCTGGGCTCTGCCCCGGTCAGAAGCCTCAAGGAGACTTTCTGAGTGGGCAGAGGGATGAGAGAGAAGTAAGATTTTTGTCCTCCAAGGACTATCCAAGACACTAATGGTGGAGGTGGAAGCTTGGAGAGACCCAGAGATGTCCTGAAATATTCCCTAGATGGCTGTTCAAGACTAAGCTGAGTCTGCCCATAGAGAAAAGGAAATCAAAACAGCAGGGGCCACAAGTTTCTGCTGCCTTCTCAAGCTACTGCTTCCTCCTCAACTGCAAACATAGCAGTAGGCAACTCCCTACCTGGGCTGGAACAGTGTCCGCTCTGGATCGGGGAGTTGGTACCAGGGTGCACCCAGCTGGTTGACTTCTCCTCATCACTGTGGAAGGACAAATAAGAAAAGGTCAGGTTCACAACCCCTTCCCTGAGCAGGACTCCCATCTCCAAATTCACAGTGAAGCAACTGTCTGATCCAGGTGCCTGTGAGGGGCACGCCACACTGCCAGTCATTCATTCACATAGCATCTTCAGAGCAAACAGAGGATTCACGGGTGGACAGTGTCTGATCCCTGGTCTCAAGAAATTTATAACCCACTTGGGAAAGAGATGCATGAAAAGACAGGGGCAGTCACTACGGAGGAGGGAGCACTACCTGTGAGGGAGTTGGAAAGGGGATGGAGAAGGTGTGACTGCAGAAGCAGGTGGGAGGAGCAGAGAGGGTCTTCATCTGGGAACTTCTTAGATGGATTTGAAGAGCAGCTGTGTGAATAGTCCTGGGTGTCAGCAATGCTGTTTGTTTGTGGTCCGAGAGATTGAACTCAGGGCCTTGGAGCTCCACTACTTGAGCCATGCCCCCAACCCTTTTGCTTTTAGTTTGTTTTTCAGATAGGGTCTGGGGCTAACTCTGCCCAGGCTGGCTTCAAATCATGAACCTCCTACCTCTGCCTCCTCAGTAGCTGGGATTATAGGAATGCTACAATGCTGTAAGTTTTCACTCACAGCATTTCCTCCCATTAGGAATTTGACAGGTTATGAATCTGAGCTTCAGAGGGAAGGTTAAGTGATTTGCCCAAGGTCACATGAGTAAGTGATAAAGCCAGGATTCAGATGTAGACCTGTCTCCCACAAATTCCAAGCTCTTTCTAGCATCTCACACTCAGTGAGGTGGGCTTCCCAGTGGTGTAAACCCTCCCCTCTGGGCTCTGTACCTGAAGACTCTGACCCCTACAATCCAAGTGACAGATTCTTCCAGAGCCAAATGGAACCCAGCATGAGGCACTTGGTGGTCCTGGTCAGTTCAGGTGTCTGAAGGAGAGGACGCCCTGATCAACTGCACCATCCAGGCTTTAGGGCAGGGCTTGGAGCCCAGGACAGACTTCACTCAGTGTCTTCAAAGTATAATTGACATATAATAAACTCCACTAAGAAAGACTTCCCTAAATTTTTATTGAAGTAAGGTGTAGAATAAGTTCCACATAAAGGGTACAATTTAATAAGTTTCGACATAGGAATACACCTATAAAAATTAATCCACCAAAACCAAGATAATGAACCCCAAAACTTTCTTTGTGCCCCTTTGTAATTTCTCCCTGTTAAGACACCCTCCCCCTCCCCAGCCACACTGACCTGCTTTCTGTTGCTATAGATAAGGTCACATTTTCTAGAGTTTTATACAAATGGAATCATACAAGTTAGACTCTGTCTGGCCTTCGTTCCTTCCTCCCCGCCTTCCTTCACATTCTTTCTTCTACACCATAGCATGTGTTAGTAGTTCGTCAGTTGTAGTTAGTGGTACTGCACTACAGGATATACCAGTGTGTTCCTCCACTTACCTGTGGATGGACATATGGGTTGTTTTCAGTTTGGGGACATTATAAATAAAGCTGCTATGAACATTTGTGTACACTGTGTGGACATGTGCCCTTTTTTTTCTCTTGACTCCATTAGCTTTTCTCTGAACTTGGACACCTGCTGTAGGAAGAGATTTCCCAGCTGACCCAACTCTCTGATGAGCAGAGAATTAACAAAGTCAAGGTTCCAGTGACCCTGAGTCACTGGAGTTGTAAGGGAAGGCCTCTACCACACGGGACCTCTAGCCTGGACTTTGGTCCCGGTTGACAGTGGAAGACGAAGCCAAGGAAAAGGAAGGGTTTAGGGAAATTCAGTGAGTCCATCTCCTCAGCCCCTGAGGCTGAGACTGACTTTCTGGCCCCCGACCCTCCCCTCCTTACACATTATTAGTCCCTCAGACTTCCCATAGCTGTCCCTTGCCTGGATGTCGTGGACAACCCCATTACACCGTTTCCCATCACTGAACAATGCAGCCTCAGGCTGTCACCACGCCAGCACTGGGAAAAACTGGACCTGAGAAGGCTGATTCAGTCTCCAAGCTTAGCTGGGCCCTGAGAGCCACCTAGACTCTGCTTCAGGTCCCTGATCAGTTGCCATTTGCTGACGTTCTAGGGCCTTCCCACCAGCCTTGACCCCAGGCCTTCCTCTTCTACCCACCTTCACCCCAACCCCACCCTCCAGGAATGATCTTATCCCTTAATTAAATCAAAAATATTCATCACTAACCCCAACCACTCTACCCCTAAACTTACCTGTGTTCTCACCCATTCTTTGATCCTGGTCTCTACACTGGAGAAGTGGCCTTCTACAAATGGCTAATTGCTCCACCTGCGCTCTTGTTCCCATCCTGCCCCATCCTTCATAGAACCTCACTCTACTGAGCACCCCAGACTTTCATCATAACTCCTTTTCCCTCGTGGGCACATCACTTTCCCTCCACTCCTGTTGGTGTCTTCCACAGCCCCAGCAGCCTGCCTCCCTCTCAACACCAACTGCTCCTCAACTTCCTGTTTCACACTCATTTTGTTCCCCATTCAATATCCCTTCTGAACTAGGCCCTCTCAGCTTTTCTTACTTCTTGGCCCTCCCCTCCCACCCCAGTCACTAATCTAGCACAATCTCATTTCTGTTCCCAGCTCTTCCTGGAAACTATTGGGAAGACACTCACCCCAATAGTCCTAAATCCAGCAGACGCTTCAGTCTTTGACCCAGCTGGCTTTTCTGCTGCACACCCACTGCTGACCATTCCCTCTTCATTCTTACCCTCCCTCTTTCTTGCCTTCTGAGTGGTCTCCACCGGAGTCCTGGCATTGACCTATGTGATCCCTTGGTCTCATTCCCACACTGGCCTCTCTTCCTCTATCCTTTCCTCTCCAGCTATCTTTCTGTCCCCTCACTCAAACACTGTGGGCAGTCTGCATAGTGACTCCTCAGACTCTATTTCCAGCCCCTAGCCTGTCCATCTACCTATCTCTTAGCTATCTCCCCTGAATGTCCCATGGGGACCCCAAACTCAGTATTTCCCCACTAAATATTTCACCCCAAACCCAGTATTTCACCCTAAATCAAGCTCTTCTTCCCATAGTCCTGGGCTCTGTCAAACTCAAGATAGACATCTGAGATTTATCTTTTTGCCTTTCCAACATTTAGGCAGTAGATAGACACTCTTAATCCTATATCTAAAGACTTCCCTCTTCTCCTGTTCCTTCACCTCAGTTTAATTCACCTCAGCTTTAATTCAGGCCCCATCAGCTGTCTCCAGACTTTCAACTTTCACAATGGCTTCCTAACCACTTTCCATACCTCAAGGTTCTCTTCTGCCCCCTGCCTGGCCCTCAAATCATCATCCCTGCAGCTGCCAGAGGAACTCTTCTATTCTGAACACAGATCATCTATGTCAAGCCAGGCACTGAGTAAAGTCTCCTTGGCCTTCCCATCTCCTGTAGGACTAAATCCAAATCCCTTAGCCTAACATGCAAGGAAGGCCTCTCTCAAGCCACCCTTCTGCCTCCCCAGCAGCCTTCATCCATCTATACCATGCCTGTCAGAGGGTTGTCAGTACCCCACGCCCTGCATCCACCAGGGCCTTCCTTCCAAGGCCTCTGCTACTAAGGCCCTTGACTCCCGCCCCACCTCCAGCCTCAGCCCAATGCTTCCTCCACGAAGGCTCCCTGAACTCCCTGCAGGGCCTTCGTTCTTTCTTCCTCCTGTCCTGTAGCGTCATTCAAGTAAATGCCTCAAGGATGTATCATATCATTTCGTAAGAATCTATTTATGTTTTCTCCCTACTACCTTAAAGGAAAAACCTATAGCTTATTGTTATATTTATCTCCAGGGTCTAGTGCTGCAGTGAAGAGGGAATGTTCAATATGTTTGTGGATAAAAGATAAAAAGCTGGCAGCCGGAAGGCACGAGGGAGACAGGGAAGAAAGAGTCAACCGCTTCATGGAAACACCTGAGGAGCTGGTGAAGCTCAGACTCAGGCCCTGCCCCAGTTCTGAACAGGACTCTGGAAAGGAACACTTCGAGAATCAGCCTGTTAGGAAGTTCCCTGGAGAGGAGCCACCCTCCCTCCCTTCCTTCCTTCCTCCTCTCTTTCTTCCTTCCTTTCTTTTTCTCTCTTTCTCTCCTTCCTTCCTCCCATCCCCTTTCTTCCTTCCTTTCCATCATTCTCTTCTTTCTTTCCTTTTTCTTTCTTTCTCTTCTTTCTTTCTTCCTTTCTTTTTTCTCTCTCCTTCCTTCCTCCCCATCCCCTTTCTTCCTTCCTTTCTTTCCTTTCTCTTCTGCCATTCTCTTTCTTTCTTTTCTCTTTCTCTTCTTTCTTTCCTTTTTCTTTCTCATCTTTTTCCTTCTCTTCTTTCTTTTCTCTCTCTTGTCTTTTTCTTCTCTCTCTCTCTCTCTCTTTCTTTCTTAGGACTTCTCATGTCACCCAGGCTGCTCTTAAAGTCTGGGCTCAAGTGAACCTCCAAACTCACCCTCCTGAGTAGCTGGGACTACAGGCATTGCCACTGTGCCTGGCGTGGATGATTCTTGTGGACTCCAACATCTCAGGCTATGTGGACTCCAGTTTTAATCCTGGAGAAGTTCCTTTATTTAGGAACCTGACCCCAGGTCAAGAATTTTAGTGGCGCTAATTTCTAAGATAATCTAATTATAGCATCAATTATGATAATGGTGGTGATAATTACAAGTGTAGAAACTGAGAAATACCAAAAAGAAACCATTGTCTGTCCCAGTTCCTGCAACAGCAGCCTGGTAACTGGGAAAGATGAGCACTAGAGTAGAAGATGCCAGTCTTCACTCTGATTGGTAAGTGGTGTTATTTTAAATAAGTGCTTTTTACCCCTCTGGACCTCAGTTCTTCGTTGAAATGAGGTAGGGGCAATTTCTAGGCCCTCAGTACTAATGTCCTCTGAGTGGCTACCTTGAGGAAGGGAAACTTGTCAAGTGTGTCACAGTCCTGAACGCTGTGCTTCTAGACTTGTATCATTGGGAGATTTCTTTCCTGGCAAAGGATGACTGACTATGAGAGTGGGCCAAAAGAGCCATGCGGGCCTCTCTGTTATAATGAGATTGTGCCACCGCCATTTTGGTTTATGAAATTAATATAACAGTGCTAATATATTACTGAGCAGTAAAGGCTCTCAGTAATATAGTGGCTAAAAAATGCTGCACACACATTGGGCTTCTAGCCTCTGCCTCTTGATCACAGCCCCAGAAAAGCAGCAGGAGGGCACAATAGCAACTGTCCTGGGGTCACTGAGTCCTGGGGTGAGGAAATACCAGGAACTGGGAGGTAGAGACAAGGACTCCTGGTAGGTTATCACTTAGCCCAAGGCTTCTGGTAGGAAGTGTGGGGAAAAAGAGATCATCTCTCTGGTCCTTACAGCACAAGGAGCTGAAAAAACTCCAGGCTGTGCACGGGGCTGACCAGGGGGCACACAGAGGGGTAAGGCCTCAACTCCCCTGCCCTGCCCAGCCTTTCCAGGCCAGGGAATGCCGAACCTTGCTGGACTTTGACCCATTGAGGAAAAGGCGGGAGACACATTCAAACAGGCATCTGATAAACTTATTAGTCATGTTCACTGTTCCAGCCACCCCTTCCCTCCACTGCTCCAGTCTGCCCCCGGACTCTGCCACCTTTCAAGTTGTACAACTTTAATGGGGGAAAAAAAAAAAAGGAGAAAGATCTTACGTACTTGATGAAGAAGATTCTCCCACCGCGGTCCACTCCATAGGTCCACCGGCCGGGCAGGTCCAGCCAGTCAATCTCATCGGCCATCTCGGCGTCCTCGCAGCCCCTGTCCTCTCTGCCCACCCCCACCCGCCCCCCGGCGCCAGGCTGGCGCCCCCCACTTGCTGCCGCCTCCTGCAGGCGGCGATGGGGGAGGGCTCCGGTGTGGTCCTCCCTGGCTGGCGCGGTGTACCTCCCGGGTCCCTGGCAGTGACTTTGGCCTCTCGCGGAAGGCGAGCTGGCGGCAAGCCGGGCGGCAGGGAACCGGCGAGCACTTAACCCTGGCCGGGCCGGGAGCCCCAGCCCCAGACACCACCTGCCTCCGCCTCTCCTCTTCGGACGGTCTCCTGAAGTTTAATGACGGGCAATTAGCGCGCTGAGTAATTACGAGGCTCCTCCTGCCCGCACCGTTAACGGGCAGCGCCAGCTCTCCGTGGCCCCCTCGCGCAGCTGCCCGCCGGCCTGGCGGAGCGGGGACGCTGCCTCCCGGAGGAAGCAGGTCGCCGTGCTGGAGCAAGGCTGTCGCCTCCCGCGGGGCGCGCGGCTGCGATCGCACACCCGAGCCACCGGCCGGCCCGGAGGCGGGGTCTCGCCGCGCCGCCCAAGGTAACGCACAGCCCGCAGCCCAGGCGCGGCCAGGGAACCAGGCGCACACAGCTTTGAGTCACGGACCCGGGGGACGTGTCCAGCCACACAACGGAAAGGGGGAAGTCATCTACCTGGATCTTCTCATGGACTACAAGAACAAAGGTCAAATGTAGAAAAGGGTGGCTTGGCCCGGAGCAGCCAGGAGTTGGGGGGTGGAGGTGAGGGGGACCCTAGGGGTGTTTTCTATCTAAGTTGCCAATCTAACTAGTGCAACTAGTCCTTCACCTGTCTTTTTTGAGCACCTCCTCCAAGAAGCCTGCCCTGAAGAATCACGGGGAGATACTTAGAAGTACTCAGACACCAGGAGCGGTTAAATTCCTCCATACCATTCCTCCTAACTCGCACCAGAAATGGAAAAGGAAAAAGGAAAGGAGAGAGGGTCGGGGAGGAGGGGACGTGTTCCGTTCTGTGTACAGAATGCACACTGAGAACATTCCATATTGGTATATATTCCATATTGGTATATTGGCACTGCTGAGCCCACAGTTCTGCTTCTCAGGGTCAATAGCAAAGCTGGGGTCCACCTAGCTTATCCAGCTTACTCATTACCTGCTCCTAGGGCTCCAATTAGATGCCCATATTCAAATCCATGTGCCAGACCTCAGGGGATAATTAATTAGAGAACGGGAGAATTACCTGTCTTTAAAGGAAGCAGTGCATCTCACGTCAGCTGGCAATCATCTGTTGACTGAACATCCTTATGACCATCTTCTGTGTGTACTGGTGTCTCATGAATGACCCTAGAGTAGTCTTCATCATGCTGGAATGCAATGATGGATTTACTTACCTGTCTCCTTCACTAGGCTGTGTGCTTCTCCAGGCAGGGGCTCCATCTTATTAATTTTTATAACCCAGCACTTGCCTGGGGTAACCAACCAATTAACGTTTGCTAGCTTCCTGATACAGTCATAACTGGGAGACTGGGAGCCACTCTTAACTCCAACCATCACCTTGTACTTTTGGGTCTTATTCAGGGGTATGCTGAGCAACAGCGAGGGGTGTGTGTGTGTGTGTGTGTGTGTGTGTGTGTGTGTGTGTGTGTGTGTGTTGGGGGTGGATCTTTCTGGAAAAAGAAACAGCCAGGGAGTCTTCCCAGCATTCCAAATGCTTAATGTAATGTATATAGGTCTGATCAATGGTGAACCTAGAAGATGCTTCTGAAGCCACCTAGTCCAATCCTGTTGTTTTACATATGGGAGACTGAGGCACAGAGATGGGGAGGGACTGGGCGAGGTCACTGGGCAAGGTGGTGGCTGAGAAGGATCTGTGCACTGGCGTCTCAGGCCAGAGCTCTTTCCATTACATCATTTGCCTCCAACACTGGAAATGAACTCTGCCAGTATATGCAAGTTGATGCCTGGCTGCCAAGTCCAAGTTGAGTCCATTCTCCAGATGCAGAAGAGAAGCAGAAACCCATGACACCCAATTCTTTTCTCCCTTCGTAGATCCTACAAATTTCCAGTAGAGAAAGCTAAATTTAGCAGCAAATTGAGCCACATCCGAGAAACACAGATGAGGGTGCAGGTGCCCCTTAGCTCCTGAAGGATGAGGGGAAGGTTGGAGGGCCAAGGGAGCAGACCAGGCTCCAGTCCTCAGCGTTGTGAAACACCTGTAAGACTCATCCTGTTGATAAGGCATAGCCATCTGCCCGGCTCTGTGATATCCACAGATCTAAGCTGCCAGGATTGTTGCCGAGATGCCTCAAGGTAAAATACCAGCAACCAGTGCACTCCCAGTCGTCCAACCTGAGCAACCAGTAAGAGCAGCTGCTTGGGCTGCATGTGGGTGGGAATAGAGGACAAAATGAGATAAATTTGAAAATGTGTAGAAACCCACTGTCTTCTCTGAGGAGAGGGTTCCTGTTGCTCTCTTCACAAGACTGTTGTCTTGATTAATCTTTAATCTAGCCTGGAATTCCTAGGAACATTCACTTAGACAATAAAAGGCCAGTAGTTGACATTTTGAATGCTTTTTTTTTTCTCATTTGAAATAAGAAATCAGATTTGAAAATCTTTTTTCTAACTGTGCCATATTCTCACTAGTAACTTTCCTTATCTACCAATCACAATATCAATCTAGCTAGTAAAAACATTTTAGCCAAAGAACTACAGATATGCAGGAAATGAGTAGAAATAGCTCTTGGTTCAACAGCTACCTTGAAGAGGGAGGAGGGTTGATATGTTAAAAATGAAAACCTCACATATTTTGGCGGTGGAGTCAGAAATGTAATTGTATGTCCTGTCCTAACTCCCCCCCTCATAGCCCCTCCCCAGCAAATTTTGTTTTACCTCTTTAAAAGACAACAAATCAGGCTGGAGGTGTGGCTCAAGTGTTTGAGTGCATGCCTAGCAAGCATAGGGGCCTGAGTTTATATCCCAGTACCACTCTTTAAAAAAAGCAACAAATCGTGTGTAAAATGTACTAGTAATATTTCGAAGTTATTCTGAGTCTTATACATTTTCTTTTTTTTTTTTGGCAGCACTAGGCCTTGAACTCAGGACCTCATGCTTGGTGGCTCTTACTTCTTGAGCCACTCCACCAGCCCCTTTTTGTAATTTTTTTTTTTTATTGGGGTCTTGAGGACTATTTGCCTGGAGCTGGCTTCAAACTGTGATCCTCCTGATCTCTACTGCTGACTAGTTAGGATTACAGGCGTGAACCACTAACACCTAACTCTTACACATTTTGAAGTCAAAGATTCTCACCTAAATATCATTATGCTGTCCATGTAAACCCCTGGAGCCTGTGAGTGTTACCCAACAAGAAGATCTTGTTGGAAGATCTTTACAAATATAATTAAGAAAAGGACTTTTTTTTCTATGCTGGGGAACAAATTCAGGACCTTGCACATGCTTAGTCAAGTGTTCTACCACTGAACTACACCCCCAACTCAAATAAAGGATCTCAAGATAAGGAGGTCATCCCAGATTATTGGGATGGACCCTAAATTGAATGACAAGTGTTCTGAAAAAGAAACAAGGTGAGAATGAACAGATAGAAGAGGAGAAAGTAATGTGACTATGGAAGCAGAGATTGGAATGGTGTGACCACAAGCCAAGGAATCCTGGTAACCACCAAAAGGTGGAAGAGGCAAACTATGTATACTCCTCGAAAACGCACAGCAAGGGGAGCTAGCAGAGAGAGCGCAGCCCTGACACCACCTGGACTTCAGATTTCTGGCCTGCAGAACTATGAGAGTGTCTTTTCTGTTGTTTTAAATCACCTAGCCTGTGCTAATTTGTTACAGTAGCCATGGGGGATTAATATAGTACTTCTAAGAAAATCATAATGAGGACTGGAATAAATGTCTATAATTTTTCTTATCCAACATCCATTCTCCCTTCTGCTAAAAGCCCCTTGAGTTTCCTTTTGACACCTACTTTTCTGCCATGCTCCTCCTATGAGTTAAGAGGATCTGTTCATCCATCCCAGCTCTGTGGGAGGGGGCTAAGCATAAACGTGGAGATCACCCTCTCATTCCCCTGGCCATAGAGATTGGGTCAGGAAAGGACACATGAGTCAGACCAGACCAGTGAGAAGAAGTCTTTTCTCTCTTGGATTTGAAGCTGGCAGGTGTTGTGTTGGTGCTGCCGGGACTTTCAAGTGGGGAGAGCCAGCCTGAAAGTGAAACCAGCACAAGAGAAATGGGGTCAGAAGATGAAGAGAGACTGGGTCTGCCTGCTGTGCCATAGGCCCTGGACCCAGCCTACCAGAAGAGGTTCTTCCCTGGCATTCCTGCTTACTGCTGCCAATAAACATCTTTGTTTTAGCCAGTCTGAGTTGAGTTTCTGCCCCTAACAACTGAAAAAGCCCTGACCATGACAAAGGTCACAAAATAAACCACACCTGTTTCTTTTGTATACTGGGAAAGCAGATGTATTTCCAATGACTCACAAATGGGATCCCTTCTCTTTCAAGAAGACCACAATTTTAGATCTAGAAGGAGTCTGAGAGATCACCTAGTTCAAAGCCCACATTGTGCACTTGGAGGACACTGGAGAGCTCAGGGGAAGCCTCCAGAATTAGTGGCAATTCCACAGAGGAGTCAGGACCAAACTCATCCTGAAAACCTAATCAGTAGGAAGCTGTATTTTCAGACCTTTGCTCTGTCATTGAAACACATTTGTCCAAGAGAGTCACATAGTTACAAGATTATAACACATTCCACTGCTCTATAAAAGAATAACCACATCAGTGGCTTTTATTGAGTGCTGTGTTTAATAGTGGTGCTCACCTGCAGGCTAGGTCACCCGCACCCGGATGATTTTCTTACAGGAAGTGGAAAGCAAGGAAAAGAAGGCAACGGCCATCTCTGTGGGCCTTAGAGATGGAGTTGCATAATTGGCAGGGGCCCAGGCAGACTGGTTGCTTAATTAAAGTTGTGCTTCCTTAAAGGATTGAAAGAGGAGGGTTTGTTTAAAAAA